GTATTTATATTATTAAAGTAGCTGTCGCCTGCAACTACGTTTCCACGGTATTAAAAAAAAAACTTAATAAGTAGCCTATGTGTTCTTCCAGGCTATGTTCTACATCTATGACAAATATCAGCGAGATCCGTTCTCGAGATACTTTCTAACAAGCTTCCATCCATCCAAACACTCGCATTTATAACTGAAAGCCACTTTCGATAAGTCACCTGATTGTCGCGCGTTCCATACAATTTTGAAGTTTGTTATAGAATCGCTTCAAAGCGAATGCTCTTTTTCTAACCCCGCTGGTAATAAAACCGAATGAAAATCATTTTTTTACTCATTGTTTTATTTATATACGTTTCAAACTTCCTTGAGAAAATATTTTTAAATGACATTATACTGGTATTTGCATGAAAAATATCTTTTTGATAAATTAAATATATTCTGATAAGTGATATAAAAACATATGCGAATGAATACAAGTAGTTTATCTTTGATAATCTCAAGTGTTTGTTGTACGTGTGAGATGCGACGTTCGTAAACACGGACAAGGACCTCGTACTTATCGTGAGTTTCCGAGACAAAAATCCTCGATTAAAACATATTGTTATCTCTGTTTTGTCAATCATAATGACAGGGATGATATGTTTTATACATAGACTAGCTGTCGCCCGCGACTCCGTCCGCGTGGAATGAAAAAAAAAACTTAAATAGTACCCGGCAATTATTCGAATTTACCTCACCTTTTAAACCTTTCCTAGACCTCCACGAACATGTAACCAAGAAAAGATAAATCTGTTCAGCCGTTCTCTAGTTTTAGCGAAACTAACGAACAGCATTTGATTTATATATATACATCTTGTTTTTAGAAAACAACGGTTAGTCTGTTTGTTTGAATACTTTATTTCAGTATAAACATAACCAGGATATCTACTTCACGGTAGCACTGTTCTGCTTGGTTGATTCTTACCTTGAAAAGTTATGCCGAATCATTTGTTTAAAAAAACATGATGTGGTCTCTGTTTTTTTTAAAGAGAATATAAGGGATGACAATCCTTACTTAATATTATAAAGGAGAAAGTAACTTTATGCGTTTGTCTCTCTTTCACTAACTCCAAAACTACTGAACCGATTTAAATGAAATTTGGTACACATGTAGTTTAAAGCCTGACAAAGGATGTAGGATTTAATCGTGAAAATAGGGTTGTAAGGGGTTGAAAGTGGGGGAGGAGATTTGTATAGAAGTATCTTCATTTTTATAGTTAGAAGTTTCAAAATTTTTGAGTTCTGTGATATATAATTTGATGCAGTTGTCTGTGACAGTACTTGATAAAAGAGAGATGTGCACTTTTCTCATTGAAAGTACATACATACTTGGGAACCGAAAACTTTACAAACGCTGCTAATGCGTTTCTTCTGAATAACAAACTAATTAAGATTAATATTTTTTTTCAATTAGGAATGTCTGTTCTTTTGTTGTCTACATTGCTTGACGAATTTTGAAGAGTGAGGTGTCATTAAAATGGTATTGTTCTTGTCTCATATTACAGGCGACTCACAATTATTTGTTTTATAATTACACTAGCTGTCATTCGCGATTCCGTTCGCGCGGGTTGCAAAAACAACTTAATTAGTAGCCTATGTGTTCTTCCAGACTATGCTCTATATGGATGCCAAATTTAAGGGAGATCCGTTCAACGGTTCTGGATATACCTTCAAACAAACATCCATCCATCCAAACTTTCGCATTTATTATATCAAGCCACAATGTTATGATTATAATTTTCTTTTATGTTAGTAACAATGTATCAACTAAGATTATATATACATTTATTCACCGCCACGTGGTGCTTTAGACAGACAGACATATCTGCAATACAGCCTGCATGTAAACATATCAAGCATGTTGTTGGGATTAGCTCGCACCCTACGCAGGGGCGAGTATTGTATCATGAATTTGAAGTTTGGTTCAGAATAGAAGTATTAATATTTGATCATACTAAAATGATATATAATCGCCAATAGCCTAATGGTTAAGGGTACGGATTTCCGATCACGACGTCGAGGGTTCGCATCCCGACATACGACTATTGTCGTAAACCATGTCTTAGCACAAGCATAGAGCTGAATTGTAATGGTACAAGAAATATTTGTAAATTTACAAAAATCTGCTAATATTTTGATACAAAAAAAGATTAGCAGACGTCTGAATGTCTGCAATGGATATATTTAGGATTTTAAATTTTATAAGGTGTTGTTTGAAGTGGTTTGGCGTAGATCCAAGCGAAGCAGACTGGATAACGTGTACCACCAATGGAAGTCCACGGTTACAATTTGCGTCATTGCATATGCGTATACTGAAAATAATTCGCTGGATACAGTGTAGTTATTTATAGAGCAGACAAATCACTTTTTATGTATAATTTTTTATACTATGACGTATGTGTGCTATTGGCAATCATCTACAGAGATACCCTTCTCGATGTATTTAAAGTCTGTATCAGATTAGAAGCTGTGATAATATTTTTTATATGACACTTCACGCAAATATATTGTGGCTATGGAATTTCTCATAATCCGATTTGGCTTATAGATTTCTTGCTGTAGTTTTGAAACTCCGTACTTAACTTATAAAATTCTCGTGTCACAATGTTAGTTACCTCCGATGACCGATTTTTTATGAAATTTAAATACATATTCTAATCCCGCGCATCCATTCGTCTCGTTATATACAGTACAATTTACTTTGAACCTTGATTCGTGAACTACGTCTTCGATTCCTGAGTCAATCCCTAATCGACATCTAATCATTTCAGTATCAAAAATAAAGATATATCAAAAACTACTCTTGCGTTTAATAAAGTAATTGTTGTGACGTAAAAAGTTATGTTTATGTGCTTTTCATTGGTCTTATTCTTCATATGATTAAACCACACCCCAATATACTGAGAATCGACTACACCAGAAAACAAAGTATAGGGCAGTAATAAAACGATCGAATCGGCGGGTCACACTACCGCGCCTCTAGTTTGATTTCCTTACCTCTTTGGCGTATCCTTTCTTTTCTATTCCATTACGTCACGTTCCTTATTAATCACCCCAATACATCGCGCGTCGCGTCACTAGCAGTCTTGTATAAAAGACAAAAGCTTGGTGGTCCCATACTTTTAAATATTTTCACTTCTCCAATTTTAAGTCCGCTTTAACATCTTCGTACAAATTGTCCCGGCTCGCCCGGTGAAATACCACGACCACACAGAAATCACGCGTGAAGTGGAAGCAATTCAGCGTTTCGCCTAATGAGTGTGTATCCCGGAGGCCTAATATACTCCTCTTTCTCTTCCCACCCTTTTTCTTCTAAGGAAAGGATGGGAAGTGGAAGTGGACTTTCCGGATGAGAGGATACATGGGAAGGGAAAATGTTTTCTTTCTGTGCATCCTCTCCTCCGTCGATTAAAGGTAGGCAACGCATATGTCTATGGGCAACGGTCATTTCGCTATTTCAGCGATTTCAGGTGGACGCTCGCTCGTTTACCTTATTATATAATAATAAAAAAAATATTTTAAGTTTAATAATTAAAATGTACAAAATACATTGAATATTATTAATTCATATTTTGTAAAGGCATTTTTTTTTGTCTGTGGCTGCGAAATGGTTATTACTACATTTTATTTTTAACAAAATGTAGACTCATTTAGTCTTACTTTCTGTGTTATATAACTGCAAACAATTTGTCCTCCGCAGAATTTTCCTTTCCTTATCTAAATCATCTATATTTACTCTGTATATAATTATAGAAATAAAGTTTTTGTTTCGTACGGATGTAATAAACGTTTAATATTTACATGTTTTATCAAAGAATTAGGAAACTATTCTATGTATGATAGGTACAGTCACCATTGTTCGCGGTATTTGTTTTTTCGACCTTTAGATTTTAAATTGTTTGTACAATATATTTAATGTTACAAAATTTTATACCAAACTAGCTGTCGCCCGCGACTCCGTCCACGTCGATATATAAAAAAAACTTAATTAGTGTAGCCTATGTGTTCTTTCAGATTATGTTCTATACGTATGCCAAATTTAATCGAGATCCGTTCAGACGTTCTAGAGATATCTTCAAACACCCATACATCGATCCACATCACACCCAGCCTTTTGGAAAACGAATAAATAGTATCCTATGTCCGTTTCCTGACTCTAAGCTACCTCCTCACCAATTTTCAGCCGTATCGGTAAATCCGTTATTGAGTTATAAATAGTGTAACTAACACAACTTTCTTATATATATATAGATTTATTTCAACTAGTTTGGCGAAACGTAGTGTCCAATAAAAATTTGTACTTAATGCCAGTTTGTTAGAAAATTTTCCCTCTATTTCTCACCTATATCTACAAAAACGTCTACTTGCAACTGATTTTTCTTTTTAATTAGTTTTTATTTTTTCTAACAATTTGTGATTACATTTTTTGCAATGAAAAAATAATAATATACTTATTTTTTCTTGTATTTTTAAATCGTATTTATCTAATAGCCACGATGGACAATAATTTAATTGTACTTGATATTAACTCGTACTTGACTTGATTTATTAATCGATTGTCTTTTAATTAACTGTATAATCGATATCGTCTTATTTTCATAAGACGAGGTGATCACCTGATTTTTTATAATGTATCTAGCTGTTGCACGCGACCGCCGTCCGCGCGAAATTAAGAAATAAAAAAGGGTCTTGACAGACGGACGGACGGACAACAAAGTAATCCTATAAGGGTTCCGTTTTTTTCCTATGAGGTACGGAACCCTAAAAACCGATAAGTGTTCTTAAGTAGCCTATATGTTCTTCCAGACTATGTTCTACATCTATGCCAAATTTCATCGAGATTCGGTGAAATTTTTTCGGTTGAAAGTTCCATACATTAGCATTTAAAATATTAGTAAGATAAAACAACCACTTAAAGTCTCCTACATAAATATTCTTGAGTTTTAATGATGTATAATTTTTGGTTGCAGCGTGCTGCGGTCCAAGGTAGCTTCTGGCAAGGATTCCTAGCTTCACTATCAGTGGTCATAGTCTCTGAACTCGGAGATAAGACCTTCTTCATCGCGGCCATCATGGCTATGAAGCATCCTCGAGTTGTGGTCTTCGCTGGTGCTATATCAGCGCTGGTGTTCATGACTGTACTCTCCGCGGCTTTCGGATGGGTAGCCACTGTGATACCAAGAGTGTACACACATTATATCAGTGCTGCCCTCTTCGCGATCTTCGGTCTGAAGATGCTTAGGGACGGGTGGAAGATGGACCCCAATGAAGGTCAAGAGGAATTGGAGGAGGTGCAGAGTGAGTTAAAGAGGAGAGAAGATCAGGTACGTTAATGTTTTCATGTTAAACGCTCAGATGACGACCGAAGAAAAAGAAAGTATGACTAGATTGTAAGAAAGTGGACGTAAGGGAGTGAATGCAGATTTGACGACGATGAGATTTATGGAAGAGTGAGTGAGCTAAACATCCTTAGAAAGAAAGGCAGGAAGATCTTGATATAAGCAAATATAGGCATTTATATATAATAGTAAAGTAAAAAAGATAATCAAAAGACGCATATCGTAAACAACCATGACTTTATAGTCTGTTGTTCCATTTTTTATTCCTTTTTTATAGTGTTGCTATGGAATAAAAGAAGTCAAGAGAAATTGACTTAAACTTATTTATCTATATATCAATATAGTTTTATCTATGTAGTATGTGTCATCGATAACAATCGGATGTAGAGAATGATAGGAATAACGTGTTGCTACCGCTTACAAAGTCGTTCAATGTTTTAGGGTATCTGTACCGTAAGTGTCCAGTGACGAAATGAATGTTCGAAATCGTATTGCTATCTCTGTTTTTTTCAAAGATAATGAGAGGGATGAAAATCTTTTGTTGTGATTTTCATCTTTTCAAATATAACATAACAATGTTTACTATTATCGAAAGATTTCAGAAATATTGAACCTTTTGTTTTATAATCAAATGACTAAAGTTAATGAATTGTTTAGAAAAAATACAGTTTTTATTCTTTTAGTTTGTCATACTGTTATTAATAAGGAGTTAGTAGTTAGGTTCCCTTCGCTAGATTAGGCAGGCATTTTGTTGTACATTTCACGGTTTCAAGGTACTTCCCCGTTTCTAAATGAATTGGCTAGCGGTTATTTTAACACGACTGTTAGTTACAGTACACCTTTTTAATTTGTATATATTAGTAAAAACCACTTCGGTTATGAAGGTAGCTAATTTTATTATCGACTATGGTCATCATTGGAATACCAAAGCCTGGATTATTAAAAAAAAACAACATTAAAGATAATATATGTTATGGACTTAAGCTAAGCTATGATTGCCAAAGAAATTGTGATATAATTTAATATTATTAAGGGTTCTGTATACATTTTTACTCATAGATTCTAGATAAAAACAACATCTCAAAAGTGTCGTCGTAGTTTTACAAATGTTGAATTCCTTTATTTTATATTTTCTTTTTTAATTTACGTATATCTCGTCTCCGCAACAACTCGTACTATATATAAATTGTTAGAGATAATTTTCCAAATTGGAGCACATCATTGGAATGATAATAGATTGATAATGTACAGGAGTCTACGAAAGAACGAACGAGTTCGCCCGAAGGTTCGGTGTCGGTGTCGGTCAAGTCGACACAGTCCGAAATCCCCGGGCCCTCGCGATCCCCTGTAGCGGAGGGTCCTGAGGCTCCCAGGGCTCCCGCGACGCCAGAGGAGCCCCAAGCGGGGCCCTCGACGCGATCAGAACCGCTGAGGGTGATCTTACGTCATTATGCCTGGCAGTACGAATGACCACCTTAGTTTTCTTTTGTTAGCTTAGCTTTTATTTACGTTCCGTTACGCACAGACCATATCATGTTTTTGTTAAAAATCTTGCTTCTTTAGGCCTTCACGATTTATTGATGTAAAAAGGAATTCAGCATTTGAATAGTTCATCGCTTTTTAAAGCCCCATCAGTCTAATAAAAATAGGATCAATAATTTAAATCTTTCTTTTTAAAACCAATGTTTCCTTAACACGAAAACGGCCGGTTTTGTCAATTCGCAAAGTTGTAGAAATAAAAAACGTCCATGGCCAGTAATAGCTTGGACAAAAAAAAAATTGTATTTTTTTTTTAAATTTGACAATAGTTTCTTAAAATTGTGTAATAATTATTATTAGTCGTATTCGACACTTGATTTGGTACATCGGCACCTAGAGTATTCGTTTATCCGACATGCCAAATAAAGTGCAGGAACCAATTTATAAGTATCAAAACTGGCCTATAACAACGCCGTTTACCCTATATCTTTAAATATATATTTTTATAATAATCACGTGATTTTTATAACTGATTGGGCTTCAACCACAATTGTACTGCATTTAAAATATTGAAACGTATTTAATATTGTTTGCGTTAGATTTTATCCCCATTATATTATCATAAGTCACAAGTATTTGAGTCATCATAATTCTTGCTTTATGTATTTGAGTTATTATAACAAGTATTTATAATGTTATTTCACGCTTAGCATGTAGATATAATGTGATACATATTGTACCCAGTAAATAGAAATAGCTAAACACATTCGCTGCCACAGTTCTCTCAACTATTTGTATATGAATAAATCGGTGGCATAGAACGTGTAAAAATTTTTTTACAGTTATATAACCGTCAGTGTATCATAAGTGTAGAAAACATATTGTCGTCTCAGGATTTTCGAAGAGAATAAGAGAGAAGATGATATGTTTTGATTACTTTGTACAGTGGAACATCACCGTAGAATTTAACTCAAAACTTAACACACATCAAGGACAATCTAGTTAAGATTTTAAATGTATTTCAGGATGAAAAAGAAGAAACTCTAGATATGTTAGAGCAGGGTCAAGCAGAGAACAGAAGGAGAAAAAGGAATGCTGTAATTAAGGTGTTACTCCAAGCTGCATCTCTTACATTCCTAGCGGAGTGGGGCGATAGGTCACAGCTGGCTACTGTCGTGCTGGCGACGAGGGAGAACGCAGTGGGAGTTGTAGTTGGGGGATCTTTGGGGCACGCGCTGTGCACTGGTCTGGCTGTTATTGGGGGTAGAATGGTAGCGCAGAAGATTTCAGTAAGAACTGGTGAGTTAATCCTACACTTTTACGTTGCGTGACACTTAAGAGAATTAAGGTGTCTTTTCGTATACTTGATTTGTTGTAAAGCTTTTATTGTATTTTCTTTTTAGTCAAATATTAGCAGATTTTTTTTGTTAATTTACTAATTTTACCATTCCAACTAAGCTATATGCTTGTGCTAGGATATGGTTTACGACAATAGTCGAATGGCGGGATTCGAACAATCGACCTTGTCATCGGAAATCCGTACTCTTAACCATTAGGCTATTGACGCTTCAATTGTATTGATTTCATTCGGTACGATTAACTAGCAAGCAAATCATTTGGTGTCAAGTGACAGCTACTTATAGACATTCGTAATAACCCACACATATAAGTCGAAACGCGGAATTACTTCCACTTTCTATGTGGTCTTGGTCTTCATCGAGTGAGTGGGCCAATATGCTGTTACTGACTACCACTGTTATCTTATTAATGTTATGTTTTTTCTTTTTTAGTTACAATAATTGGTGGCATAGTGTTTCTCTTCTTCGCGGTGAGTGCTTTAATTATCGGCCCCGGTGAATAAATGGACAGATAAATGTATTTAATTTATTTTTAAGTGAATTCATTTCTTAATTTATAATGTGTTTTAATTTGTTTTCAACGTACCTAAAATTTAAATTATTCAAGATAATAAAAACAGTCGACATAGATAATATCAAGGGTTTTTAAATTCTTTACGTCAATGTGAATAACAAAAATATTTTAATTATATTTTTGTTATTCAAACTTTTGTGAGACATTAAAATAAACTGATATAAAAACGGCTAAACACTCACGTATATTCGTCTGGTGGCGGCAATGACTATCTTCGAGCCCATCGGGGGCCCTTCATCGAGATGAGTGGGACTGGTATTATTTCGCGGCTTACTGCGCGCCTGCGCTCTTAGTGCGAATATACGTGAGTGTTTAGCCGTTTTTATAGTTTAAAAATATAATTGTGGAATTTTGTCGAAACTTTAACGTTTTTTTTTTGACGGAATGGCAATTATTGCCAGCCTGTATTCCTACTTGAATTTTAATTGTCAAAATATTTGTGTTACAACATTTTTTTTCTTGTGAAGAAGACTTGAAAGGTGCATGATTTTTATGTGCTTTAGCAGTGATAATAGCTTATAACCTAAAGGTAATTCAAAAACAAAATGAGAAACTTTAGATTTTTTTTTAATTAATGACTAAAATTGTTATTCGGAGATATTTTTATTTATAGTTTAAAAATTTAATGATATTTTTTTACTATTGAGATTCATAATTATTGTATCTTATTCGGAAGTGTATAAATGTATTATTTGTATGAATGTTGTAAAAAAAATCAGTGTTCTTTTATACAGGGTGTCCCAAAAGGTTACGTACATAGGAAGAGGTATGATAGGGGTGGTCACCAGGGTCACCAGAAAAATAAAATAAAAATTCCCCTCTGGGTATTAAAAAAAATAAATGGCATTTTTTAAAAACTTAAAAATTTTACACCTTCTGGGGCAATTTTAATTTTCTTTAAAATCTTTGTTAGTTGTATTGTTTTTTTTTTTTATTTCATATTGATAAAGGATTATTGACGATAACATAATAGATTTTTTTTAAATGTAGCAATATTTGTAGGTCATTGGTTACAAAATTGGTCCGGAAGGTGTAAAATTTTAAAGTTTTTAAAAAATGCCCTTTATTTTTTTTATACCCAGAGGGGAATTTTTATTTTATTTTTCTGGTGACCCTTATGACCATCCCTTTCATCCCCCTTCCTATGTACGTAACCTTTTGGGACACCCTGTATAAAAAAAAATTAACATCGTTGAGTTAAAACTGTTGTTGGCTCTTAGACTATATTTAATTTTATCAAATATTTCCACACCGTCAATTATAATCCGACTGAAAATGTATATACGTATTTCAAACGCAAATATAGATAAAATAATAAACCGAATACAAATTAAATAATCAGATTTTGACAAATTTTCTAGACCTAACAATTAGGTAAAGTAATTTTTACTAAATGTTGTAGTAATTAAAGTTATTTTCCTTGCTATTTTACTGCCTACTATTTTGTCCTTCAATTTCAAAAGGTCAATATAAACACGTCAAGGTCAAACAAAACACGTGAAGGTCAAATAATAACGTTTATTTAAGTAAAATTTCTTGGCTTATCAGAGCCATCTGAATAAGTATTCGACAAAAGGCAATAAAGTTATTCTAAGTGCCTTGCGTTATTTGACTTTATATCTTGATGTTCAAGTCACTTGAGTTGGCACGCCAATCAGAAGAATACAGCCGTTCCTGACGTGCCAAGTCAAATATGAGGCACAATATGAATATTTTTTTAACCTAGCTTCTTTAGTAAAGGTGACAATATGTGTAAGAAATTTCTAGAAGATTTCATACATCTTTATTACTAACTATTATTTTTTTTATTCCACGCGGCCGAAGTCGCGGCCAAAAGCTAGTACTAAATTATAATAACACGTTTTAAATCTGCTTGTAATTTTTATGTCTGTGATCTTATTGTACATTATTTCAATAGATTTAGTATTGAAATGTTTAAAAACTTTACAAAATAGTATCGAGATATTAACCTGCGTTTTCACTGACAAAATTTGCAGTGGAAACTTATATGTTTTTTTAATAACAAATGTGAGAATTGATATGTCTTTTTTGCGTATTTTGTCAGTGGAAACCTACGTTAGTTATGTTTAGTTTAAGTTTATGTAACATGAATAGGAAATTAATGTATTAAAACGATTTTAAACCAGTTTAGCTCTTATGATATTATAATAAAGTTGCATTTCGATTGATTTTATTTCAAGAAACATTCGCTCTCGGAGAGAGTAATCGTAAGTCTCTACATTTTGTTGTGTTAACTTCTAGAGGCATTAAATTACCGAGATTTTATTCTTCTTGATAAATAAGGTTATAAATTAAGTATTGCTATTACTAAAAAAAATTAATACATTCAGTTTACATTATTCAAGTCCAGCGATCGACGCCAGCGCTTGATTACAACTAATAAAATTTAAACTCGCACTGGAATACTATGAATGTGTTCGTATTTTACCTTTTTATAGTGCTGGATTTGATCGTTCTACTTGAATAATAGATTTATTTGGTCCCGTTGCAACGCTCCTTATGAAAACGCATTAAATGTATTGGCTTATGTTTGTTGTTACTGATGTTAGATTGACTTACTTGAAATAAAATAAAAAAATGCAAAAATATATTTAGCATAATCTGTAGAATATTGTAAAAATATTGTGATATGTATTATATTTTTATATTGTACTACGAAATACATATAAAAATAGATTTAAATTTTACCAATTTTTACCTTCATCTCGGTAGGAAATGGTAAGATTTATATTTAATATGGCAACACTCACGGAATAAATGTCAGCAAAAATTGTACAAAAATATCCAGCTTCAGATTATAAATATTATTATTTTTGTAAGTACAAAAATCTCATTTCAAATGTTTCTTCCAAAATATTAAAGTATTATTTTATGTAAAGATTCTTTAATAAAATATGTAAATGATTGTAAATATATGTACGTTTTATCAATATTTTTTATTCTGTCTTTTTAATCGTGAATAGACAGGAACTACACAAACTGGCTGGAATTTAAACTCACTTCAAGGAGGTTTGTATTTTTTAATCATAAATAAAAAATATGGCGAAATAAAATTTTAACAATTGCTTTTAGAATTAAATATAATCGTTTATAATTGCAATTTGTCGCTATGCTGGATAATGATTAATACAAAAGATAAAAATAATTTTAGATTAACATTTAAAAAAACAATAGATTTTATTATCTGTGAAAAGCAGGAATGACATTACGATAAACTAAAAATGTATTTAATCTGTCGTCTTTAATCACACTATAATCCTCTTTATTATCTTTTTAAAATATGATTTATTAAGTCACGTAACTTCGATGATTGATCGGTTTTTAAACGATTTTAAAACATCCACTTGCCTATCTTTATCTAAAGCTTGTTAACACTGAATCCGATAATATCGTTTTTCCTGTCTAAATAAATACAACTAAATTAGGTAAAATTCTTTTAACGATAAAGAACGGGTATAAATTAAATAACTACAAAGATAACACAGTGGACTTGTATAAATATTCTTAACCGTCGGTTTCTGAGACTAAAATTTCTGTATAAAAGACACCTCTATTTTCTTTGATAAAACAGAGATAATAGTATGTTTTAGACGGAGATATTGGTCTCAGAAACCCACGATTAGATGGACAATATGTATAGGTAATACGACTGTGGGAAATCAACGATTATGCAATCTTCTCATATAATTACGAAGTAACAAAATTATATAAAAAGTATAAACAAATTGGAGTATTTTTGAAGGCAGTTAACAATTACCCAAAATATTAAAAGTAAAAAAAGGTCAAACATAAAACTAATACAAATTTTACCGGAATATCCATTACAAGTATAAATTTTCTTAATGTTAGACCAAAGTCAAATTTTATTATTTGTTATTCTGAAAATTAAATTACTTTAAAATTCTCTACTCTTTTAAATACAAACATATATTTCTTAATTTTAAATAAAATAAAACTTATAACAAAATAATACTTCTAGGGTACAAGAATCCTTGTAAGTCTTTGTGTAGAAAAAAACTATCAGCAAAAAATTAAAAAAACTTAACCGCACATGTTTAAAAACTTAACAATATTTTATTAAAAATTTTAATATAATATTCACTTCTTGATTTAAAATAAAATCAAATTTTAAAACAATTATAAAATAACATGATTATAAGTAAAGACTATAAAGTTTTAAAATTTTGCACATTTTAAGTAAATAATTTTATTTTATCTTTAATAAAAATATATAAAATCACATGCAACAATTTATTAAAAAAAAAAACACGACCTCGTGCGAAATTAAAACCCTTCTAAAACTAACATGACATTGTCTCGATAATATACAAAAAATAAGCATAGCAGTTGCTTTCTAAATCTAGAAAAACTTAATAGTTGATTTAATATATTATGATTTTAGTATTTTACGATTGATCAAATTGCCATTACAATATAAATGATTGCACATGAAGTAGTTATCATTATGATAAAACAAAATTGAGAGTAATATCTTCAGGTTAATTAAGAAACTCTTCTTATTTAAAATTTGTCAAAAGTAAATCTCCACTTAAAATAAATGTGTTCCTGTTTAAAAAGTAATAGCAAAGTTTCATGTGAGGTAAACTGCTATGTAATCGTCGCAGGCGTCGAGCATCGCGCGCTGCAGCGTGTCGTCGCGCGAACGCAGCGCCGCCGTGTGGCTCGGCAGGAACAGGCACATGCGCGCACTGTCGCCCCACGAGTGGTTCTCTGTACCTACACAATACATAAATACTTACCTTTTCACATGATTTATGAAGGATGATGACAAATATTCTCTATTGTGGTTGCACTGTGCAAAAATTTGGCAAAACATGTAAGTTTAATTCAGTCAGTAAATATGGACATTATTAAATTTGTAAACTCTTCTTACCCCTTTGTGTTAGCGTGATGGACTTACCGTAGTACTTGAGTGGCCACTGGTGCGGCGTGTGCGAGCGGGACAGCAGACAAGAGGGCACAGCGCCCGGTGCCAGTACGCGTGCCGGCCACCATGGACACGAGCCCAGCTTGTGCCACACCACGTCCTCGTAACTGCACATAAATAATAAATGCTTGCCGTTTCCACTGAGGTAACATGTACAAAAACATATACCCTCTAATGCTTTAACACTTTCAAAATTTTATTACGGAAGTAATGTTAAAAATTGTTACTAGATGGCGTTATTTTCAATCTTAAATTAAAATCATCAAGATTTAAACAGAATTAAAAATAAATAAATGAATAATTGTCATGAAGAAACATAACATAATAATATTCTTCTCTGTAAGAGTACACACTTTACACTTCATATAAGGAACACTTGTTCATTGAATATTATGTTAAAATTAGTAACTTTACCCAACTTTAGGTCCCCACATGCAGCTGGGACATAGCTCCATATTTTCCTTCTCTTTCTTCACAGAGCATATAGTGCGGGTGCTCGATAGAATTTTGTCCACAAATGTCACTTGCTTTTGCGATTTATTTGGTAGTTTTTTACGATCTGAAAAAAATTGTTAACCAATAAATAATACATCTTTAACTTAATAAAAAGTGCAATAAAATCACTTAAATACTTAAAAGAAGACCTTACTAGTATCTTTAAAGTTTTGGAATGGGTATAGGTGGCGCTACCACCTACTTTTTTTAATTTAAAAGGTTAAATTCTTTAATAAAAGCGATAATAGTCACGGTAAAGTCTTCTGAAATTACTATAAATAGAAGTATCGAAGCACATACGTATTATTGTGACGAGCCATTCTCTTCTGCAGGCTAGATGGAAGGAAGAGGGACAGTTAGGACACTGGCGCAGGCGTTCTCCTTCGCCACACACCAAGCACCATGGCGCATGCAGAGTTATTGGCATTTTCTCTGGCGATAATGATTTCTGGAAAATAAAATCAATGTAAAACTAAAATTAAAGTACAAAATTGCATCTGGAAATTATTTTTTTTCTGTATGTTTTTAAATGTTACCAAATAGCAGTAATTATTGAAACTGGCAACAATGATAAACAGTAGTAGGTTTACAAATTGATTAAATGTAGCAACATTATAACTGTAACATAATATTGCCATTATAATGCTATGTCAAAATCTTTAAGATGAGTTTTATTATGGTTCTATAAAAATTTTCATACAAAAACAGATTACAATTGTATGAAATATTTTTTTTTGTATTTGCAGTATTTATTTCAATTTAAGTAAGGATTGACGATTTTTTTTACGTCAAAAGAAATGTTTATTTAAAAAAAAATTATGTTATCCAAAATTAAAGATACTTACATTGTAATCAATATTTTCCTTGTTTTCAGTTTGCTTATGTACAAGATTATATCTCCAGCACTGATGCAAGTAATTCTCAATTTCTTTCTCGGAAACTGATTTCTTTATAATCATTTCAAATTTATCTTCCGTACTTGCATCAATATTTTTAACATAATACAAACATTCCTCATTTTCTTTATTATCTTGTAATTGTGAATAAAATTCATCAAAAAGCATTTCTTTTCCACGTCTCACAAATTCTTTAAATGCATTTTCATATTTTCCTTGTTTTAATGGAGTATGTCTTATATCATATGTTATGTTTAAGTCGGGTTCCCTTGATTTTAATGGTTTTACACTGAGAGGTAATGGGTGGTCTTCTTTGATTTTCCTCTGAAATATAAATACATTTTTTTTAACTAATTGATTCCAGTACATGTTGCAATAATGTTATGTCTTAATAAATATAACATCAAAGATCTATTTTTTTCATACAAAACTTTTCTGAAAATACCCTGCCAGCATTCCATCAAACTGTTTAATGACTTAAAACATATTTACATATTCCTTTCATGCACTTAAACACCTTATTAAATTATTTTTTTTTATAAAATTATATTTTCTTTTTGTTTTAATATAAATATATATTTCATCATCATCAGCTCACTACACATCCCCACCGAGGGGCTCGGAGCCTACCCTAAGTTAAGGGTGATTTTTAATATATATTTGGTTGGTATAAATTATCTTTACTTTTTAGAATTATTTAAGTAATGTATATGGTGTGATTTTTAACTAATGGATGATAAAAACTAGTTATGGAATATTTTTTTTAATTATTTATATTTAATTAAAATATTTGTAATAAAAAAAATAACATACCTTCCTAGGGACTGAAGGGGGCTTTATTTTGATTGGTACAGGTAATTTTTCAGACGGACCATAAAATGGTCTGGATCTTGCTGCCAGATGTAAGCATGTGTATGGAAGCCACATTTTATTCCTTGTCCGAATAGTCTCCACATAGTAACATAGTTCTGTTGTTACATTAATACCATCTTCACTTGGCGAAATTGCTAGAACTGTAATAAAATTAATTTGTACTGTTATTAAATATATAATTATTCTAAGACAATAATAAAGTGCTTTTGTGATGTATTTTTGTAATTAAAAGTGTAAAATTTATGTACTTAAAGTTGAGATGAATACTTGGATATTTTTGTAATATTAATAATAATATTTAGTTTTAGTACTTGCTTGAGAAGAGTAATAAAAGACCTAACAAAACCTATTTGTTCTTTCTTCTTTCGTATCCACTCTGTATATGAATTTGTATCACGAATATTCAAGAAACAAAACAATATCAACTTTTAACAATGCTGTAAGTGACATATGCAATTACACGATTCCCCCACTTTTACGAATTTAAATTGATGTTAACGTTTCAAAGTATAAAGTATAAATAAAAGATATAAAATTCGTTAAAACAAACCTTTGTCATCAAAAAATAGTCCCTTTTCATCTTTGATTACTTGAACTTTAGCATATACCTTTTTACAAATTCGTGCTAGTGCAATGTCACCTAATTTCCAGTGCACAATACTCATTATTTATCATGCATTTATTGGCCTTATAAAAGAAGTTTTAAAATTATCATCTATAATATGCAGTTTTATGAAATGATATATTTTATAAAATACGTAATACGTTTTTTGTAAATTATTAAATTTGTATTAACAAGGCCGGGATTCTATAGGGATTTAGCCATTAGTCAAATAAGCTTTTAAAATAATATAAGTTATAAGTGCTTAATATCCAATTGAGAACTTGCGAGATTTATAATTATAAATGGTAAAATTATTTTAAATAATAATATATCCTACGAAAAAAATGTTTTATAAACATCAAATAAAGATATTTCCTTGGTATGTGCTGTGCTTGTGGTGCCCTCTGTTGTCGAGTAGAAACAACTTGTTTGATTGTGTTGTCATCTAGCGTTGAGTTAAGGAACTAAATTTTCTTTTTATTTAATTTATTTATTTTGATTACAGATGGCAGCACTAATTTAATTTTGTACAATGATAATTTGCTTTTATTTTAATTGTAAAAAAAACGCCAAAAGTCATGTGAGAATTACATGATTATAAAAATAAAATTAATCTAAACTAATGCAACTAAATTCAATTATATTTTATAATACATTGCTTATTTATTTCATAATAAAACGTTTAACAAAAATACCAAAGGCAAAAGTAGATAAAAATTAAGATATTAACATACAAAATATTTTTCAAAGTTATGTAAAATTTTCTAGAAATCTCTTATTTAGTCTACATTTGAACAAAAAAATACCTACCTACCTACCTACGTATAATAAAAAATGTACCAACAACTCCGTGATTTTTAACATATTGTTATCAAACACACCCTATTATCAATACTTTCCATAACAAGCATATAATCTGGCAGTTAAGATGTCGGCTCATGATTGGTTCATCTCAATGCGGTGGGCGTCGTGCAGCATCCAATGGCCGACAGATTTCGTATCTTGTTTTGAGATGGGGGAGCGATTGTCAAATGATGACGTAAGTATATTGAATTTATATAACGAGCAACATATATACCTAAATAGTTTCGAATGTTTAGTTTTTAGTTTAATAGTAGATCGTATCAATTATTTAGTCGAATTAGAATCTATTTTAATAGAAACGTGATACTAAATAAATAAAAAAGTATTCAAGTATTAATTCCTTTGGCATTTTATTACCGAAACGCAATACATGTGCAAAAAATATTGTTATGAAATTTTTTAAAGGGAAATGCTTATTAAAATGTGGTAGAATTTATTATAAAATATGGACAAGTACTTTTTGAGTTTTACGTGAATCTATTTATTTATTTATTTATTTATGATACACCAACGGGTAAGTTATAAGACATGCGATAAAAACAACTTATTACCGAAACAGAAAACACATAATAACTTATCACAATTAAAGGTGTCATCATGCAAGACTAATGAAGAAACAAACAAACCTTATACATAAACAAAAATTACTGAATTTTTTTTAGAGTGAAACCAATTGTGAAAACAACAAAAAATAAAAAAGATAACGAAGGAAAGAAAAAAGAGAAAAAATCTAATAGGGATTGTAGGAATCTTAGTATTTCGCAGTTTATATATGTATTTTTTTTTAATTCTTTGACGGTGCAGGAGGGCAGTGGACTCTCCTGTCTCCTTCTCGGAGACACCCTTGTAACTATAACTATATACTTAATTTTTGTAAATTTATAAGTAACCTAAATATTGATAATTTGAGTAATGTCTTAATCGAGGAATAGTGTACAGTCGAAGTCATTAATTTCCTACCCATTTCAGTAACGTCGTCATTGTCGTCATTTGGCCCTCACAACGCATAAATCGAAAACTTGCCATAACAAAAACGTGCAAAATTATAGCTCTTATAATGATATAGTTTTACGATATTCGATACTAAGTGGGTAGTGAAATTAATTCTTTGATTGTGTACAGCAAGGTGTGTCCATGTCGCAGTGAAAGTGTTAGCAGATGCGCCCTATTATTACTTACCGACTTTCACTCAGTTAAAGACACTTTTAAAAACTAGTTCGAAATAGCTATAGATCTATATTAAAAAATTAGTCTACTTATTAATTAGCATTTTCTTTATAATATAATAAAAAAAAACTCCTAGTAACCCCCTTTCAACGACGTGACGGCGTAAGCGCATATCCTACTAATTCAGTTTTTTTTATTTTCACGCGGATGAAGTTGCAGGCGACTACTTATTATTAAAAAAATAATTAATTCGAAATTAACCGATGCTAATAGTATTGCCGTAACGTTGGCTTAATTCGGAAACGCTTATTAGTCTGACAATATCTAGTTTTTTTTTTCTTCTCGAAATGTCAATCAATTTAAACGGTTCAAAGATACCGTTTTTATAAAAGACAATGCAGAGGGAGCGAGTCTCTGCGGAACACAATCGAAGTGTTTTTACCGGCCATAGCTCGTGCCATGCCGACGTCCGGTACAGTCGTGTGCAAAATACATATTTTGTTAATATTATATTTTTTTTTATTTCATCTAGTAGATTCATCAATCATATTTTTTCATGAAAATAAGTAATCACTAATTTATATTTGCTTTAAATTTATATTCAGGTAGACAGATCTCTAGCAACTCGAATGTCGAATGTTCAAGCTGCTATACCTCCAATAGGGGACGGTACTGAATGTTGGCACTTTTTTAAAGTTATCGGACAAATTTTAATACGTCTAAGTAGACATAATAAAATAATTTTGTTATTTTTAACGCATCATTTTATAATAGTGTCTTTTAATTTTCAAATTTAGTATATTTTTCTACAAAATTAATTAATTATTAACATTTTTGTGCATGAAGATACATCTATTGTCAGCATCTGTCGTAATTTTTTATTGTTTCGATCGATTCCTACTTGTTTTTTTGCACTCGTTGTTTGGTGAAGCAGGTAGCGCCTCGGGTGATCTTAAAAATTATTTTTTGATATGAAAACTATAGAATATAACCCTTCTTTTCTTACTTTTACATATTCACGTCATCTCAGAACATAGCGTTTAAGATTTTTTCTCTAACTGACTCTTTCTGAGACCAAAATCACCGTATAAAACATATCGTCATCCTAATAATTATCTTTCAGAAGAGAGAGAGAGTCAGAAACATGCAGTTAGTCATCACAAATATAGATTTTCTTTGCCAAAACAAACTTACTAAAGCAAATTTTGAGAGTTTGGAACAAAAGGATCAAAGACTGGTATACTTTTTTTAAGATAATTTTTTATTAGTTTTTTTTATGTTCCAACGGTCGAAATTGCGTGCTACATCTATTAATAAAAGAAATATAAGGTGTTTATAATTTGTGTTAGAAAATCCGAAAATGTGTCAGTGTATTGACCCAACACTAGCCTTACTAAAATGTCGACGTTTATGTCCCCTCACTATTCATTCTGACACTGGACTTTGTAACGAAAGCACGTCATTCACGCCAAGTAATTCTAACTAATAATGCCTAAAATTTGTTAGTCGTTTTTTTTAAATACTTAATCGAACCGTGTTATAGAGAAGGATGTCCTCTTAAATTAACTATAGAGTAAGAGTCAACAGGATGCGGCTGATTGACAGCTTTTGTCGTTTTACTTATTCAATAGTCAATTAGTAGTTTTTTAACCAACTTTTACCGTTAACTTAAAGTAAGTTTAGTTAAATAGTTAAGCTGTAGTTAAATTTGTCTAAGTTATTGTCAGAATTGGAAATAACGACATAAAAGGCATTGGCATTATTTAGTTCTAGTATAAAAAGTAGATTAATTAGTAGACTGAAATTTGGCATAGAAGAAGAACATAACCAGGAAGTTAAATTATTCAAACTTTCGTGAGATACTAAACTGATATATAAACACGGCTAAACACTCACGTATATTCGTCCGGTGGCGGCACCGACTAGTTTCGAGCCCATCGGGGGCCCTTCATCAGGATGAGTGGTACTGGTATTATTTCGCGGACGCGGCCCGTTGCTCACTGGCAAAATAATAAGGAAGAATTCATAAGCTATTAATGTTTTTTTTAATTCCATGCGATCGGAGTCGCGTGCGAAAGCTAGTCTGTTATAAAACTACAAAACCAATAAGATGTGTACAGTATCCCATATTAATAACATATCATCATCATCATCAGCTCACTATACGTCTCCACCAAAGGGCTCACAGTTTACCCTAAGTTAGGAGTGACTAGGCCATGGTCAATCACGCTGGCCAAGTGCGGGTTGACTTCACACATATCTTTGAATTTCTTCTCAGATATGTGCAGGTTGCAATATAGCATTAATAACATATAGGACAAAATATTTTTTTGAAATTATATTTTACAAATTGTCATTAGGGAGAAATCTTAGCGAGCATTCCTAAAGCATCGCTACAGCTAATAATATTAGTAAGATTATTTTTTAAATGTTGCCCTCCATGAATGTAGATATCTACAAAACAATAACTGGTGATTAACAAACAGCAGTTCACAAAAACAACCGTTTAAATGAGAAAAAAAAACTATGGAATGGTATTTA